TTAATGATTCCATGATAGTAAACCCATCCTTTCCTACTACTGAGGACCACATCATTATAACCTTTTGTTTACTTTTACTATAGTACTGAACCTGTGTATGGCTTTAAGCACAAGGATGAGTAACCTAGATGTAAAAGCACCACTCATTTTCTCTCTTTCCTTTTCTTTCTTCTTGTCTGTGGTTGAGCTAAGAATTGAACCCAGAAGTTTAGGTATGCAAGGCAAGCATTCTACCACTGAACTACAAATCCTACCAAGGCAATGTCTTCTTAATGTAAACGGTTTCCCATATTCTTTCACCGTCTTCGTAATAGATGCATATTATGATCTCTGTCTTTGTCTTTGTCTGCACACTGTTCTATACTTTTTGTATGACTGGTTGATTTAGAACAGAATGTATTTGTTAAAGAGTTTAGTTCAACACTTGGCAGACTGTCTCATCTCTTCTATTATTTAAGCCAAAGATGTTGACACAAGGCATGTTTGACTTACAAAAAAACTTACAGCAAACAGACTACCTGATGGATTATTTACAAAAACCCTACATGTAGCTTTATTATTAACCATTTCCTCCAATATGGGGGCACATGAAGAAGCCAGCCAAATGCTATCTTTTTACCTGCAAAGTTTCTGTTCAAGAGAAGATTATATGGACTTCTGCATGTATAGATTCTCCTCCATCTCATACCTGGTTAAAATTGTAGGGAGTCTGCTGTGGAATAATGCTTTTGCACACTGGTTTAATAAAATGCTAATTGGCCAGTAGCCAGGCAGGAAGTATAGGTGGGATAAGCAGACAAGGAGAATTCTGGAAAGAGGAAGGCTGAAACAGGAGACACCAGTCTGCCGTCCAGAGAGCAGCATGTAATGGCACACAGATAAAGCTACAGAACACATGGCAACATATAGATTATCAAAAATGGACTGAGTTTAAATGTAAAAGCTAGTCAGTAGTAAGCTTGAGAAAATAACCGAGCAGTTTTAATTAATATAAGCCTCTGTGTGTTTACTTGGGGGATGCAAGGCTAGGACAGAGAAAAACTTCCAACTATAGGAGTAGAACATCTATTATAAAGAGTTTTAATATTCTTTGGTATTTAATATAGCCTGACTACATGGCAATCACCAATTACAAAGCAAAATTCTTCTTCATGTACTAGTAAGTATTATGCCTGACAAACTAATCAATAATATTTGTGCTGTGCATTTGAATATAGATCAGGTTCCCTATTATATAAAAATATTTTTATGTCAACAATATTTGTTGTGTAATTTGAATTGTACACTCCTTAGAAATTGTGATTCTTTGTAGTCTTGATATGCATAATCAATAAAGTGTTATAGCTCTTCATGTTTTCATTCAATCAAGTGAATGAGTGTATGTGTGTGCACCAACACAAGGGCTTGAGGTTAGATACAATCTAATGATGGAATCATGTTTATTGTCATACAACCTAAATGAATGAACTTAAGGTACATACTCTTCCTTGGTATTCTGTTTTATATACCTTAGAATTGCCTGTAAATTCTTTAATATGTGAAATTATGTACAGGCAGAATCCAACTCACCAATTTTATTTTCTTAGTTTCTCAGGCAGTTAAAATTTATGCAAGTGCAGTTAAAAACTTCCATTCTAGAAAAAGATAAAATACTTACTAAAATAAATCTACTACCCATAAAATATCCTATTTTCTTTTTTCATTGAGATAAATAAGACCACATTTCACTTCCATTCATTAGCTTTGGACATACATTAGGAAATAAAACATTTAAGTACATCATAGGAAATAAAGCAAAAAAAAATGGAAAGAAAGCTTTTCAGGTGCTTAGCACAATTTTATTTACTTTTATTTGACATATTTAATACAGGCTCCTAATGAGAAATCTAATACTTATGAAAGAAGACACACATTATTGTTAATGCCACATGCATTTCTCTAAACAGAGTATCAGTGTAAGACTGTATCTATCTGCCTGCCCCATTTAAATTCTGAATTATGACTAGCATACTGTAACTTTTATTTGTTCTCATAAAGGGACTTGTTTGAAAGCATGTGATTATCTCAAGGCAAAATTATTTCAAACACTATATAAATAGCAAAAAAAAATACTCATTTAAAATGAATGTTATGGGATATTGTTGTATAAATGACATCTTTGCATAAAAGCATTATGCTCTAAACAATAGTAATTCTAATATAATTCCTAAAAAATACACACATGTGTATATGTTTGTGTGGTTGAATAATTACACACAATATACATATATATATAAACTATTTTAATAAATCCTATTTTAAATATTATATTCTTACGTATAGTTTACAAAATTAAAAATATAAGGCTTGACCTCACCCAGAAACCTCTTGTGCTAGGTTAGATACCTGGACTTCCTCAATATGGGCCTATCTACTCTACCTGGGCCTCCTGTACCAGACTGACTTCCTAGGACTTTTACTTTAGGAATGCAGCTCACACAGCCTCTGGAAAATAGGAATTACAGCTCCCCTAGCACCACTCTAGAATTTCTTGTACCAGTTCTACAGAGGAATATGGGCACCTCGATCCTACTATTATTCAGTCCTCTCCTGAATGTTTTACAGAGCTCACCATAATGCTTAGTACAGAGATCTGAAAAAAAAACAGGGACCAAAATAAAACTCAGAAGATAATTTAAACACCTACTGTAGACAATAGAAAAGAGTGCTTTGGATTCAAATTTGGGGCATATAGAGCTAGCATGAACATTATATTTTATATATTTAGTGGATGAATCTAAAGGGAAATACAGGCTATTGGATGGTTCCAAGATAAACAGATTGCACAACTGAGAAATCCATGTTGAACTTTCTTCACTGAGATAGAAACAGGAGAAGATTCTAAATTGGTATGAACAACTAAATTTTTCAGATGGGTGGGGTCAGCTTGAGATGTCTCAGACATAAAGAGTAAGTTGTATCACAGTCTGTGCACAATGAAAGAATGACAGAGAGATCCAGGTTCAAGTTCTGTAAGAATTTATGCAAAATTATAAATCAAGAGTTAATTTGATCTAGAGAAAATAAATAAAGGTATGAAAAGGAGATATGTGACTTGGATCTCTGTGTATCAAGAATTATTTTTTGGAAGAAGCAAAAGGAAACTTTGTTGTAGATGAACAGTCTTATTAAATAAGAAACACAGAACCAAATGGAGAGTTAAAAGCCCAAGAGGTCAGAGCAGTAGCTGAGAGCTGAGACTTAAAACCACCTTTTTTACCCTTAGCTGCTGCTGTCGTCCTTCCCCTCTGAAAGAGACCTACTTCCTGTCTGTCTGTCCTTTTATTGACTTTCTGTTCTGTCTTCTCATTGGTTGTAAACCCAACCATTTGAATGCCTCGTCACTGCCTGTCTGTACAGACCTCCAGGTCTTCTATGGTTAGTATTGAGATTAAAAGCATGTGTCTCCATGCTGGCTGTATCCTTGAACACACAGAGATCCACCTAGCTCTGCCTCCCAAGTGCTGGGATTAAAGGCATGTGCCACCACCGCCCAGCTTCTGCTATGGCTTGCTATTAGTTCTGACCCCCCCAGGCAACTTTATTTATTAACATACAAATAAAATCACATTTCAGTACAAATAAAATATCACCATACTTTGAAGCATTACCAATGCTTCAATTGAGTAGCAGAAGACAATGGAAACATTTGCCTCTGTAAACTCAAGCGATAACTTTGAAAAAAAGAATGAAAAACAATTTTGATGATAATTTTACAGATTGAAGGAATGATTCCCCCAATGTTTACTGATATTTTATAAGAATGTTTTCCCAAAGGAAAGATGCAAACCCCCAGAAATAATGAATTAACAAACAGGGTAGGAGTGAACAGAGCAGTGGCTGAACACCATGTTCCAAAGTTTCCACTGAGGACAAATGTAAAACTGATTGAAACGCCTCTGAAGTGGGGAAAACACACAATAATGAAAGTTATAAAATAGAAATTAGGTTGATAATGCTGTATGACAGCTTAATAGTTCCAGTAAATATATATTAATGTCAGAATTTAAAAAAAACAAAAACGTAAAAAGACCTCATTGAGACAAAAAAGTCTCAAAGACAGACTTAGCTGAAAGAATAGAGTGCAAAATAAAGCATATTAAAAAGTGGATTGAGTTCAGCTAGGAATAGGAAATACTTCTCAAACACAAACCAGAGGAAGAAAATTGCTACTGAAAGGTTAACTGCAGCAGAACAAAGAACAGAAGAGAAAAAGACAGACAGACAGACAGGAAGGGAGGAAGGATAAAAGGAAGGGAGGAAGGAAGAAAAGAAGGAAGGAAGGAAGAAAGGAAGGGAGGGAGGGAGGAAAGAAGGAAGGAAAGAAAGAAAGAAAGAAAGAAAAAGAAAGAGAAGCTTGCTAAAATTTAGCAAAGAATAGCTAGTAGAGAGAAAACTAAACATGGAGAGGAGTGACAGGAAATTGAACAAGTGAATTTTTCATATTCTTAAATAAAGAATAGAAAAGATCAAACAGCTGATCAAAGAGATGGCAAAGGAAATCTACTCTATACTGAGGAAATGAGCCTGCAAATTAAGAGGGGAAAGAACTGTAGGATGCTGAATAGAAAGGTGTTTCTAACAGAGGTTTTAATGAAAAACAGAATTGCTGTGGGATGATCCTTCTGTGCATGGAATATGTATTGCTATCATTGGTTAATAGGAAAGCTGTTTGGCTTATAGTAAGTCAAGATAAAGTTAGGTGGGACAATCAAACTGAGGGCTAGGTGAAGAAAGGCAGAGTCAGGAGAGATGTGAGTGAGCAGCCCAAGAAACAAGATGCTAGAGGACTGGTAGAACCATGGGCCACATGGCTATACATAGATTACTAGAAATTGGTTAATTTAAATGTAAGAACTAGTTAGTAATAAGCCTGAGCTACCGGCTGAACATTTTGTAATTAATATATAAACCTCTGTGTATTTATTTGGGACTGGGAGGTCAGGACAAAAACTGCCCTTTGTGCTCTCCCGCAGGGTCGCCGCGATGGCCGCCCAGGGAGAGCTGCAGGTCCAGTTCAAGCTCGTCCTGGTGGGCAACGGCAGCACCGGGAAGACGACGTTCGTGAAGCGCCACTTGACGGGCGAGTTCGAGAAGAAGTATGTAGCCACCCTGGGCGTGGAGGTGCACCCGCTCGTCTTCCATACCAACAGAGGGCCCATCAAGTTCAACGTGTGGGACACGGCTGGCCAGGAGAAGTTCGGAGGCCTGCGCGATGGCTACTACATCCAAGCCCAGTGTGCCATTATAATGTTTGATGTAACATCAGGAGTCACTTACAAGAATGTACCTAACTGGCATAGAGATCTGGTGCGTGTGTGTGAAAACATCCCCATTGTATTGTGTGGCAATAAAGTGGATATCAAGGACAGAAAAGTGAAGGCAAAATCTATTGTCTTCCACCGAAAGAAGAACCTTCAGTACTATGATATTTCCGCCAAAAGTAACTACAACTTTGAAAAGCCTTTCCTCTGGCTTGCCAGAAAGCTCATTGGAGACCCTAATTTGCAGTTTGTTGCCATGCCTGCTCTTGCCCCTCCTGAGGTGGTCATGGACCCAGCTTTGGCAGCACAGTATGAGCATGATTTAGAGGTTGCTCAAACGACTGCCCTCCC